GCCCGAGGGGAAGGTCGCGCAGGCTTTGCTGAGACCTTTGGTGCCCTCGCTAAGGGAGGAGGCGGCGTTGTCCAGCAAAGGTGCCGCCTTTCCCCAGCGGTTTCTCCCGGCGGGGCAGCGTCCCCTGCCCCTGTAGCTCTGGGGGTCTCCTGTGCCCCCCGGAGAAGCGAGGGGCAGGGCGGGAACAGGCGGCAGAAGATGCTGTGCCTCCCGGTAACCTTCCAGTTGCTGCTGGTGCTGGTGCTGTGCAGCCAGGGCACGGAGAGGTGTCCTTCACCCTTCTGCGAGTGCTCCGACTGGGAGGACTACAAAATCACCTGCAGGGACATCCACTTCATTCCCAGCCTTCCGGAGGACACCCAGACCCTGTGAGTACATTGGGGTGGGTTAGGGAGACGCTAGCCAGTTGTGAGTCTTCATGTTTTGCAGGCAAGAGATGCTCTGAGGTAATGCCCTGTGAGATGAGGAGTGGTGGGGAGGGGAGAGAGTGCTGCAGTTTACCTGGGCAGTACAGCATAGCAGGACGGACAGTGTGCAGGCTCTGTGTGTAGCAGGAAGAGGTTGGAAAAGTTACTCTCAAACCCTATAGAGTTCTGAAGAGATGATTGTCCATTGTGTCTTAAGAGTTCTGTGTAAAATAAGAGAAAATTAGCACCTGAGCTGGTGGACAAACTGGGCATAAGGTTCAATTCTGTGTGCAAGTGCCAGGGGGCTGAGGAGAAGGAAGGATAGATCAAACAGAATTTTGTAATTAAAAAAATAATAGGCATTGGATGTGCCACCTTGCCAAGAGTTCCACGAAATCTTCTGTGCACTTTCAGCTTCTTTGTCAAAGCCGTAAAAAAGAATCCATGGGAATTGAGAATTCCAATACTTGGTATGGAAGATGGAGTACTTGAAATAAACAAAAGTTGGAGGGTGGCAGCAGATTTGGAGCTTGCCAAAGTGGTAGAATAATTCAAGTACCTAAACCTAAGTGTTTGGTACCATTACAGGCACAGATCTTGTCTGGATTACTGCTGCCAGTCCAGATGAGATTTTCTGTCATATCTGTGAGCCCCATAGAGATGTATCAGATAAGTACTGTAAGGAAACTGAAATGGCACCAGTCAACTAGAATTAAGCAGATCTGTCATTCCTGGCTTTTACTTTGTCTCATGAGGTACAAAATATTTCTAGTCTCCAAGGGAAGGTTCATTTGTAAATAGATTGCTTTCTGATAAACTAAATGAATTCAAACTTGATTGAATTGTAAGATAGAACAGTGACAGATTCATTGGTTTATGTCTGATAATGATTCTCAGGACTTTATTTGAAAATATGAACCATTAAGTTATTTGAACTTATTTGAATGCTTCTCAAGATTTTTTTAGCACCTAAAAGTAAAGGCTTAGCAAATTGATCACTTACCTGAAGAAAAGAAAAAAAATATTTAGGTTATTTTCATTATTTTTGCATGCCTTTAATTTTTTTGATTGTTAGACTGCAGTATTTCAGTTAACAAGATTTTAAATTATGCAAGTTTTGAGTCAATTATTATGCTTTTATATATGTGGTTTATTTAGTTTGAAATTGCAATAATATTATTGTATGCACCAAGTAATATGTTCTTTGAAATCTACCATTACCATTACAAGTTAGAAAATAAAGCAGTTTCAATTCATAGGAGAAATATGCCGTTGTACAGGCATTTAAAATAGTTAATAGAAACAATGAGATCACATAATGAAATTGGATACTTTCCTTGAAAAATGCTGGTATGATGGCTGAGAAGTGCCTCTCTACACACGGCTTCACAAATAAAGCACTTTGGGCACTGGAATTCTAGTGTTTAAAACACCTGTAATAATGGGGGCTCTAAAGTCATAAGCCACTGGTTTTAAGACAAGAACACCCAGTGAAGATCTTATTTCCATGGGAAAAGTAATTAACAAAAACAACTGAGAAATATCTTTCTGTTCATTTTGGGTGAAATTTAATCATTTGTACCCACCAGAGTGACCATTGCAAACTTCCCAAGACATATACTCCTGACGACAGTCATTATAAGAAAAGAAAATACTCCAGTTAATGACAACTGTGATTTTATAACGTATGGCAGAAAAGGTAGAACATGCTCTGTATAGTCTTTTACTTGGGAAAATTATCTCAGAAAATAAGGAAAACAGAGCTCTTTTCACACAGACACACAAAAACCAACCAAAAAAACCCACAGTCCAACAAAACAAATCAAAAAGCAACAACAACCAAAAAAAGCAAACAAACAACCCTAATAATTAATTTTTTCACTTCACTTTACAGTTTTCTCTCTGGATAAAGTGTGTATACTTTCCTCTGGTATTATTATTCCAATTGCTGAATTCTGGTGGACTGTATCTGATTCCGTAGTCCCTTGCTTTTGGCAAATGGCTTAATCTTTCTTTCCCTCCATATGTTAAATGGTAGTCATAACAGTTACTTGTATGTGTTTTTCATTCAGAGTGCCTTCAGATACTGCAGACTGGATTACTTGCACATGGAGGATAAAATAACACAGTTTTCCTGAGACTATAAGGCATGTGCCCCTGACTTTGTCATGTTTTGCATCCTTCTGCCTTACTACCGTCAACAGTTGTGAATTAAAGACAAAAGATTCCAAAATAATTGAAGTTTCTTTTAATCTGAAGAACAAATGAACACTACTTTGAAGTGAAGCATGTAGCGGTGCATATCTGCACATTGTATGTTGAAACCCTCTACAATTTTCTCCAAATCCAGCAACTTTGTTACTTTAGGTAAAGTAATTCTGCTTCTTGGTGGTGATTGCCAATTCTAAAACTTTCTTGTGTGGCTATTCAGTTTTGTAGGGTTTGTAGAACTGCGACACTGGTGAGCCTAGGAACACTTTGCCAGCTTTTGGAGATGATGAGCTCTTTTCAGTGCACAGGATCTTGAAACTCCAATTAAAGTTTCATTCTGATTATTCTGTCGAGACTGTTCTCATTTCTCTACACTACTTTAAGAGAATGGACTAAGCCTTTTTTTAACAAGCCATGCTTATAAGAAATTCTGAAAAATGTTTATTTCCAAACTCTTTTATTGGAAAAGTGATGTGAACTTCAGCCAGAAAGTATGTTTGTTTTAAACTATTTGTAATGTATTTATCCAAATACACAGCTTCTTACCCAGAATGCCTGAAAGCACAGATATTGATCTTGGAGATGTCCTTTTTCCTGTACAAGATTTATTTTTTTAAATTCCTTTTCTGTGGACTAAACAAGTAGAAAGAACAAGGTTTTGTGTATTATAGACAATTCTTTTTTCCTGAAGTTAAGGCTTATATAACCCTTATATAATATACTCTTACAGTACGAGAAATTACAAAATTAGATATCAATAATTTTGTTCCATCTGTGATATTTTTATTTCCTCTCTCTGCACAGCTGGCACTCTGACCTGAACAGTTGCCATTTTACTCCTGTCTGGTCTCCTTTGCTTCTGCCTTTGCCTAACCTTGACTCCAGTTCTCCTTCACACTGTGGCAGTGCGACTAGATGCACAGTACTGAGGGGGTCTCTGTCTCAACCCCTTGTCTGGCAGTGCTTTTCTCTTTCATCAGCAAAATGCTGAAGCAGAGCAACAATTGGTGCTGTAACCTCATATTCCAGGGGAGATCCTGGACTTTCAGTGCAAGTAGATCCACTAGGAAGTGGGGGTTAATGACTGTGAAGAATCACTTACATTTACAGATCACCAAAACCCCACTGAATCTTTGTTCAAAGATAATAATTGCTTGAATTACTGTAACACCTGAATATGTCATATTGAGATGGTATCACTGTCCCAGCATCATCTCAGTGCAGTTCTCACCGCTTTACATTTTATGGATCTGTTACTAGTTGCTTCTAATTATTTTTCCTTTGGGAATAAAACTAATAAAGTTTTCCTTCTTATTTATTTGTGCTCTACATCACCTTCATTCACTCACTAAAATAACTTCAGTTCCCCTTCCCATTCCCAATATCCTCAATACTTTTGCTTATGTTTTCCTCTACTTAACAGCCATAACAAATCAGTCCAATGGCTCTCATCTCATACAGTATCCTGCCTTCAGGATTTCTCTTCGTTTTCCTTAGGTATTTGCATATAAAAATTATATGTGATACTCTTCACAAATCAAATCTCAGTTTTCAAATATTTTTACCCGCAGCAAATTTCTAGACTCAGTGTGGTTTTGTCATTGTAGTAACTGTCAAAGGATTGCTCTTCTGTGTCTCTTGAGTTTTGTGTTTGTGCCTCATTTAGTTGTCTCTGGAGGTCATTTCCACAGCCATGATTTGACAAGGAGTTCCACAAGTCTAATAGAAGTTGCAAGAAATCATTTTTTTTGTTGTTGTTGAAAATACCATATTGTCCTCTCATTGGCAACTGCATACACAACATTTACAGGTCTGCAGTATGTCCCTTAAGCCTGCCAACAATATTCCCATCTCCTCCCTATACCTTCTACAGCAGGCCAACAGTAGTGTCCTGTGCTCCTTCTCATATTGCTGAAAGCAATCTTATCTGCTGCCTAAAACCCACATATATATATATGTGTGTGTGTATATGTGTGTATGTGTATACATATATATATATATATGACTGGAGAGAAGGCAGTATCTCCTGAGTTCAGAGCTACCCTGAATGAATATTCCCCATGGAATGGATAAGGGCTGAGCTCTCCCTGCTTTTTCTCATTTTTCATGTTTCTTTTCTTTGCAGATGCTAATAAGGTTTCTCTCCTGTACCCAGGTGTTATTTTCACAGCAACATAATCACATTTGATTGAAATTGAACAAGAGGGAGTTAGGAGGGGACAGTGAAACTGGCATATAAATAGACACACAATCAGTAGAGTCTTTAAGAATATGCTCTTTACATTAGGCATTAAGCTACAATTCTGCATCTGCTTCAGGATATTGGCCTTCAATGGTAAGGAAACCTGACTTATGTCATGTTTACTGTGTTGGTGAGGGTGACCATGTGGATATCAGGATAACAAGATGTAGTGGATCAGCTGGTCTGTTTAGTTCCCTATGCTGTTGTCAGCTTTTGATAAAGGACATATGGAAAGTGTGTAACATATGTTACACATTTACAATGTGTTATTTAGAAGTAGCAATGATATGTTGAATATTCATAAATATTGATAAAAATGGAGGGTTGAACTGGAGAACGAAATACATAGGGACTTATCAGTTTTACCTGTAATAACTGCATCACTGGCATCCACTTTTGTTATATGCTTAATGAGTAATTTAGAGCATTTTGGTTGACAGAAGCTACAAGTAGAACTGAAGGAGTTAATATCTCTAAAATTATGTTCAAAATAGATCAAACTGATTTA